ATAAGAACCTAATATAAGGGAATTTTATGCGACTGTCATACAAGTGAGAGGTTTAGCTAGCTATAAAACCCACCATTTTCTACATAATGGAATGCGTGTACCAAGCTAGGAATATGACAGTTGTTTCCCATTCGTTTGGTGTGTTTGAATCTTTAATTTTGCCATTTCATAAGGGAACTTCTGATTTGAATTTTCCTTGGAGTTCGGTATTTTTGTTATTTTACTTTTCACTAAAAGGATGCCAGCCGAAAACGACTTATGAGACACTATCATTAAAACAGACATCTAATACATACATAAATTTTTTACACGTAAAAAGTATTTCGTACATAAAACAAAAAATACATATATAATTTCTAGATTACAACATGTTTTCGTCGGTAAAACATAGAATATAGGGAACTAGCTAAAAGAGGAACCATATTCTCATTACACATAAGATAACGGAGTTTTTCAGTATCGCATAAATAATCAAAATCAACATTTAAAAGACAGGCTTTGGCATATAATTAATGTCTTATATCAGAATAAAAACAACAATTAAAAAGAAAGGGCTTATCATCTTCAATTTGTCTACTATAACAAAAAGTACACAAACGATCTTGTAGAGGTTCTGGTGGTCTAGCATATTGACCTGTTTTAACTTTAAGTTGTAACGAACCAGCTCTGAATAGTTAATTTATTATCATTGACCTTATTGTCATCAATCCATAACCCCTGATACCAAGATTTTTTTTTCAAAAGTTTGTATAGAATCCCTTAAATTACTCAAATTAATTTAATCTTCTACATTTTTAATCAACTTATATTTACGAGCTAACTGTTACACTCTATAATCCCATGACGATTTTCTTCTAATCGCCCAGGTATGATTCTTTTTACATATTATACTGCTATTGTCACATTTAAGACGGTTCCATAATTTGAAAACTTTAACTTTTAATAGAGCATCAGCTGATGAAAAAAAACATATCACCTCTAGCAGCTAAATTGCTGCTTCTCTTGCTTAAGCCTAAGAAAAATTTACAAGCATTGCTTTGCAAACTATTTTCACATGAACAATACAACAGGTGCCACATGTTGAGCAGGATCTGCCTACCCTTTCGGGGCACCTGTGATCATCCCTGGGGTTAGATGGACTTCGTGTTGCTCAGTCGTCAGTTTTCACTATTGTATTGTGTGTACTGTTGTTTGTCTGTTTTCGTTTTCCGTTTTTTTGTTATGGCATTGTCAGTTTGTTTTCCACTTATGAGTTTGAATGACCCTTTGGTATCTTCCGTCTCTCTTTTGTGAAAGATATGTTGAAAATCAAGTCAGTATAGAAGCACTGACTAGCAGTCCACCATCAGCTGTATCGAACAATTATCCTGTCATTACTACTCTTTCCACATATAATTTGATTTAAAAGTAAAATAACAAATATACCGAACTCCAAGGAAAACTCAACACGGAAAGTTCCTTCTCAAATGGCAAAATGCTATAGCTTGCTAAACCTCTCACTTGTATGACAGTCGCATAGAATTCCATTATATTGACAACGATGTGTGAGCAAAACAAACAGACATTATAGGTAATAATGTCAAAAATAGGGGTACAGCAGTCAACATTGTGTTCTCAAGTGTCGCTTGTGTGTTTTCCACCAATAGGCACTTTGCATTGACAACATTTTCAGCGATAACCTATCAATTAATAAATCATTTAGAAAGCCTTATTCCATCCAATCCTCTCGGTCTCAAGATCTGATATGTAAAATGTAAAAAGCAAAAAATTTAAATGCGTGATTAACTAATTTTCTGTTGGCATCTTTAAAAACTGAAGACCAACTTCCAGAACATCGTTAACATTAGATAGGTCAAACCATTTACAACAAACAAACATAATATGAGATCTTAGTAATAATAAGTATGATAAGAATTCAATCTTAACTCAAAACTTAGTGTATTAAAAATTCTTACATGAAGTATCTTACCTTTGCGATATTTCTTGGAGTACTCTGCAGAAAATATTGGGTTGCTCTCTTTTATATTACATGAACATAAGTTCCTGTATACGAATATTTTTAAATTGATCGAATTTCTTTTAATGGTAGAGATCACATGAATACAAATGAGGACTTCAAGAGTTTGTTTTAACATTTTGTGTAAGAAAGAATGTTTTAACAATGCTTCTGATATAATTGAGTAATTTATTTCATGTCAATAAGTAACTTCTGAACAAATACTAAAATGAAAAGGATTTTACCTTTATTGATGGCTTTAACAAGACATTATCTTTCAAAATGTAATTTATTGAAAATGTGACAAGAAAGACAGAATCCTCCCAGAAATCTGCAAATTAAGATCGATTCATTCGCCAAGCTTTCAAACACTCCAGACATAATACGACATCGTGATTCTCAATGTATGAAATTAACAAAAACGGAGAGAACCGGAAGATACCAAAGTGACATTCAAAACTTGTAAGTTGAAAGAAACTGACAACGACATCGCAAAACTCGTACGATGACGAAAGAGCAAGCATGAAATGATATAGTATCGTACGTCCCACTCAACAATGGCATGTATTCCCTTTTGAAAACAATACAACAATTTTGAAAATTGTATATACTCTTGTCTGATGTTCAAGATGAGATTTTAGTATTATCTGTTTTAATCGCTTACCATCTCGATGACGCACTTATTTTTACATGTGCTTTTCTTAAATAAAAGATTGCTAAATACAGTTAATTTCATGTATTCCATACATTTATTGATAACTTAAGATGTGATCTTATTAACAAAATACACAAAACATTATCAGGCGCGATTGGTTTGTCTTATTATAATATTTTTTTATCGCCGATTTTCATTCTTTCAAAATAAAAATAAGGAGATGTGGTATGATTGCCAATGAGACAACTATCCAGCAAAGCTCAAATGAAGTGGATGTAAGCAATTAAAGGCAATCATACGGCCTTCAACAACGAGAAAAAAACCATACCGTATAGTCGGCTATAAAAGGTCCCGACATGAAACATATGGAATAATTCATTTGAGAAAACTAGCGGCCTAATTTATAACAAAACAATTTACGAAAAACAAATATGACAAACAATTAACCAACGAAAACCACTGAACTACACGCTCCTGACTTGGGACAGTCCCATAAAGAATGTGGCGGGGTTAAACGTGTTTGTGAGCGCTCAACCCTCCCCTAACCTGGGACAGTGGTGTAACAGCACAGTATAAGAACAAACTGTAAAAATCAGTTGAGAAAGGCTTAACTCATTAAATCGATACAAAGTATATCATTTAATTGTATTTGCAAGCATTTGTACTTGTTTGAATTAGAGATGTTGCAGAACTGAAGTATTAAGATACGTATACGTATCGAAGTATCCAAATACTTGCGATACAGTTAAAATGAGTATCATTTTTTCTGTCCCGATGAATCAATCAGTTTATTGATTAATTTAAAAAGTTGTATTTTTTAATGTGTACTAGGTTTCTCTTGTATGCTTAATTTACATACAAAACATTGGTGCACTGAAAAATTATTTTTTAAAGAAATTAATCAGAACAAAATGTAACTTCGAGATTCTAGTGTACCTTACTACTTTCGAGTGCACATTATCTATACTAAAGAATAATCCTAAACTTGTGTAGTTAGAAAATATCTGCGGCTTTCCTAATGTATTATACATATGTTGAATTGATTTTGAAACTTTGTAATTTAACTTTCAAATTATTTTGTGAAAACATTTACATATCACATTCACAGCTACATGTAAGACCACAATACAAAATGAGTGGATCACATCTTTCGATCAAACTGACTTCTGAGTAACGGGCAGAATAAAAATGTCTTTACACTATGTTCCCAATGGTGTCATTTTGTTAAGGGAGACGGATTTATATAAGTTCTTCTTTTTTCCGAATCCCTGTATTTCTATTGTATAACTGTAATTTGTGCAATTTTGAAAAATAATATATTGTTTAAACTAAACTTTGGTTCACATTAGACCTTGGTTTTTTTATTTTAAACAGACTTAACTGACTATAACCATGACTGTTTTTTTTTCTCTATTTTTTTTAGAACGATGATTTGAATGTCTTATCAAAAAGGAATGACTATCTGAACAAACGAAAAAGGCGGAGTTGAAATGAATGATGAAAAAAACACTTTAAATATGTGTTGTGTCTTTTTGCAAGCTGATGGTAACTTATGAATAAAAAGCATTAAGAAAGAAGATCACTTTCAAATATCTTATTAAAAAGTAACTTCTATTACACTTATTTTCCCTTGACTAGAATGGCACCTACTGCATTGATCATTAAATTTCAGTATCATATAGATAGGATTTGTACACTTATTATTGTGTAAGCACTCGTTCCATCCGTAGTTTTAGTATATATACATTTGACCTTTATTTATCACGATAAGATTTCGACCTATTTTAGTACTAATTTACAAACCTTGACAAAAATAATCAGCCCAAGCAGTATGTTGTTATTCGGTAAGATTTTAATAAGTAGCTGAAATTAAAAACAGAGCTGTATTATTTTACTCATAATGCTTATGTATACAAAGCTCCATTCGTGATTATTTTTGTGATGTAAACTTGAATAAAAGTATCGTCGAAATGACCAAGGCATTATCTTTTTGAAATATATAAGGAAACTATTGTAAGAAAATATACATATCATTAATTCTAGCATCTGCACTTTGTTCTTTTACACTTCAATTTTATGTAAATACTATACTTTTACTACTCGGGAATAATACGTGTTGTGTTTATATTGATTATTGGACATTAGATAGTTAAACATTTTCTTGATCCAATATTCAACCCTAGATCAATTGATGGTTGTCTGTCAACAATATAGCAAGAAACAAAAGGAATGCAGAAGTTAAGAATAAAATACCAATATCATGCGCAATGTCGTAAACGATAATCAGACTTACATTATATTTTAGTAACATTTCTGCTGTTAACTCTGCTACCTGTCTCTTCACAACAATGCGAGGACATAGAGACATCGCTATGTGACCTGATGATGAACAGGTTGCCAGAAATGTGCGGTGATCCGTGTCTTGCCAAATTCTGTAAAAGATCTTGCGGATTATGCCGTAAGTTTTTACTCAATTTTTTATTTAATTTTGTGTTTTTGGGCTTCCCGATAACGTTATCTCCAGAATACCACTTCGGATGCACCAAATTTAAAATCTATAATTTATTGTCAACAATATATTTCATTATTTTAATAATATGAATATTCTATACTATATAAAACGTCATATGAAAATTGTTTGAACAAGGAGGGTTGTACTATAATGAGGTCAAAAATATTTACATGTTCTACCGACAGTACTATATTACAAGTCAGTGCTTCATTACTGAAATCATTTTTAATATAATTTTCTAAATATTCCCTGTTGATAAATAAAAACAATATTCACAAACTAAAGGTTCCAATTATCTCAGGCAAAGTTTACCTCATATGAATATGGATGTTCTTTTAAAGTGTCCTTTTGTGTTTGTATAACTCATAACGTGTATAGGTAACTTAAAAACCTGTCTTTTAAATAATTAGATTTAAGAGTTCCAGCTAAAAAATGCTGACGCACGAAATTTATAAAGTGTTTTTTTTTTTCATTTAAGACACAAAATATAACCTGTCTAGGAATGGGACAAAGTTATGTTTCATTTAATTATCAGACCAATCAAACGCATAATGCATATATAAGGGAAGTTTTAATATATTTACATTTTTATCATCTAAGTTGAATTTTTTCTCCAGCTTCCTCCACTGATAAAATCTGACCGCCATGATAAAGACTGTACTAACATTTAGCACAACATGTTAGAACTTTTTTAAGCTTTTCAAATTCGTAATAAATTTTGCTTTTCAACTTGGTAATAATTTTTTTTCTTTCCAACTGGTTAGATTCGAGCACGTTTCGTCTTGTGTAAAAACAAAACGTACCCGTTCACCAGTGTACTTAAATTATACGTCTCACAGTTTAGATTCATTACCTGTTAGTGATACCCTATTCATCAAAATTAATCCAAACTGTAGAAATATAAAATAACGATCATCAAGTCAGATGAATAATAAAATGAACATAGAGCTAACATATTTGATATTACTTTAATATAATTTATTTTGGATGAACATGTCTTCTGATTGGCTGAAAGTTTTTTGTCTATCAGCTCAAAGACATAATTTTTGAAATGTGACTGTGACGTTATCTACGTTTTTTTATGATTTACTCCTTAAAAATGGAATTTAGAATTAGACTTTAAGGACTGACTGTAATATTGTTTATGTCTATTCGAAATAACCTCAAAAATGTGGTGCACACTTTTAAAAAACACGCTACATGGGTTATTCAGTGTGCACCACATTTTGATGTTATTTCTTCATAGAAAGAACAATTATCACAGTCATTCCTTAAATAAAAGATGAAGATATTCACTAAAACATGGAGTGAAAGGATTTCATCAGTATAACTAAACATAAATAAACATAAAAGTAAACAATGATTAGCTACATGAATTTTTACTTGCAATAGAAAAAAAGATTCTTTTCTCGACGGGTATAAAAACAGGGAGCACAACAATTACAAAATGTACCGACCGAAAATCCTACTGTTTGATAAAATGCCTTATGGATAAAAATGTGTGTATATGTATACAGTATATTTTGTTTTCAGCATTGAAATGTTACACATGCACAGAAGTGAAGGATGTCACAAATTGCACTACATATACAACCTGTTCTGATGCTAATGACGTATGTGTTGACCATGTTCTGCTTTTAATAACATAGATATTTGCTTGTTTTAAGTACTAGTATTGCTTCAGCTTAATTGTAAACTCATTAATACAAAAAGTATTTCATGCATTTTACGCTGCTTTTACATTTAGTTTTAAACGACCATTGCAGAACGAAATCAACTTTCCATTCAACTTCTCATTTCTCAGCAGTTACATACCCTCTGCATACTTGATTATATGGCATTTACAAGTTCACACTAAACATGTACGGACTTTATTAACAGCGGTGTGCTCCTAAAACAATACGTGATTCAACATGTTATGAGGACCTACGACGGGAATCAACACACCATACGTTTTACGGTCACCGTCATAAATTGCTTGAATTGAACTATGTGACGGTGTCTAAACTCAATAGCGACATGTTTTCACGGTCTAAAATCTTAAGATACCAGTATAGTCGTCGGATCTGTAGCTTTACCGATTATGTCCTATTTGCGATTGTGACATTTTGATTGAGGACGAATTTGCATGGTGGGTTATGTATGCATAGCTGGAGACGTTACCCTTTCAACGCACTCGGTCTCGCTCATTTACTGACACATATATATACATGAGGCAAAAAGATAATTAGCCGTTTTTGAAATCAATGAATAACGAAAAAAAAACTATATAAATAAAATCTCAATAATTACTAACTTTTTTAACAGTACTGCTTTACAGCACAGACATTTACGGCACATTTTACTGAGGCTTACAGACTTGGATGCGGCAGTAGACAGGTAGGTGTCGCGTTTTATCATGCTTAAAGACTATTATGTCGAAGTAGACAGTTAGAGTGGTTTTAAACTAGCCAAAAGCATGTGAATGTCACATTGTATAGAGAATTGTAGTCTTTTGAGTTGCATTAGGCAGGTAAATGTCACATTGTACCGGGAATTGTAGTCTTTGGAGATGCATTAGGCAGGTAAATGTCACATTGTACCGAGATTTGTAGTCTTTGGAGTTGCATTAGGCAGGTAAATGTGACATTGTACCGAGAATTGTAGTCTGTGAAGTCGCATTAGACAGGTAGATGTCAGTTTTTGCCGATGCTTGCAGTCTCTGGTGTGGCAGTTAACAGTTGAGTGTCACATTTTACCGATGCTTGCAGTCTCTGATGCGGCAGAAGACAGGTGTCACAATTTACAGAGTCTTGCAATCTCTGATGTGGCAGAAGACAGGTGTCACATTTTACGGAGGCTTGCAATCTCTGGTGTGGCTGTAGAAAGGGGACACATTTTACCAATGTTTGCAATCTCTGATGTGGCAGTACACAGGTACAACATTTTACGGATGCTTGCAGTCTCTGATTTGACAGATGACAGGTGTCACATTTTAGAGGTTTGCAATCTCCGGTGTGGTAGTAGACAGGTGAGTGTCACATTTGACCGATGCAGTCAATGAAGTGACAGTAGACAGGTGAGGTCAAATTTCACAGAGGGTTGCAGTCTCTGGTGTGGCAGTTGACAGGTGTCACATTTCACCGAGGCTTACAGATTGTAAGTATTTTATTTTACCGAATAAAAAGTCCAGTGTATTTCAGACGAACCTGTATAATTATAATGAAAGATGCGATGCTTTTTATTACTGTTCTTTATTTTAGATGTGAATACAAGATTATATCTACTTTTTACTTTAAAAAATATGAAAAAGATTAGTCAATTGATTTTGAAAATAAGACATACCATGTTGTATACTTTAATTAGATATTCAAGATATTATTACATTCTTTACAGACTTGTCTTCAGTATTCTCCAATATCAGCAACGTTGAGATCCAGTATTGAAGCCGGGTGTTGTAATACAGACAAATGTAACAACAAACCACCGCCATTACTTCATATAACTCCGCCACAGAATTATTCCTCTGTCAGTAAGTCATTCAACATGTGCATTAATTAATACACATTTGCATTTAAGATACAGAAAACTGTAATTTTTTTCTTAGTGTAAAATTTAGATTAAATTACAATTAACCATGTATAGATTTTAGTCTTATAATCTGTTTGTCAAATATTTACAAAAACTTCCTACCGTAAAATCGCTGTAAATTTTGATAAGATTTGATAAATGTTTTAATTAAAATTTTGCAATTATTTTGTAGTTATTTTTAAGCATCATTCAGTTAATTTTATTATACTTCATTGTTTAATATCAAAGGGCCCTTAGCTGCGTACCAAAACAATACATCCTATGGTAACTTTTTATTAATTAATGTAAGTAAAAAAGTGTTGTTTTTTTTTACATCTAGGGTTAAATGACAAACTTTCCTTCATATTATAGGGACGTTATAATAATCCTAACCTTTGTCCCACTGTTCAGTAGTAATTATCTAAAACATATATAGCTATGAAAAATGTATTGCTTCATTGCAGTTTTTCGTTTATTATTTTACTGCATGTCGTTTCCATGTATCCCTATGATATGAGAACTCAAAATATATTCTTCTAGCTATAGACCATCTATATAAGATTCGACAACGAAATGAAAATGAGGAGCATAAGTGGCAAGAAGAACATTTTGTCTTGTATAAATATATATTTTCTTCAAATTTTTTTTAATTTTTGATTTTATCAGCAAACCTCAAGACTTTTTTATTTGCACTTAATCTTGTTTTTATCAGCAACAACCCAAGATCCTTCCTTGTGTACGAACAAAGACGATGATATATGTACACGTTTAGCTTTTCACCTACAAAATCCATGTTCAGATGATTGTGTAGCGTCAAAGGTTTGTCCACACATGTGTAGGAAATGTTGTAAGTATACATCCAAAATTACTACCTGTTTAACAATGCTGAACTATTTTCCTTTCTCACTATGACCCATGTTTCATATTCATATTCTATAGTCATATTTTTTAGCATTGATTTGTTTCCTGGTTTAAGAGATTAGAAAACTGCTAGACTACTGTCGTCTTAATTAAACCATTTCGTTTTATTTCTTAGGTACTTACTAATTATTTTAAAAACTTTGTCCATTAAAAATTAACTACTATTTGTCAATTATTTTAAATTGAAAGAAACACCAAAAGACTTGTGGAAATAGATTTAAATAGAAACATATGACTTGCAGGGAGGTGAGAGTTTTTTTTTTTTTTTTTTTTTTTTTTTTTTTTTTTTTTTTTTTTTTTTGGCTCCGTGTTGAAAGCCTCACTGTGACTTTTAGATGATGAACAGCAATAAAAGCACCGTTCCTCTGCTTTCTTTGTGGTTTTTGTTGTGCATGTACTGATTTTGTGTCATGGATGGATACCCCATATCCTTTGTTTTTCTATTATATGACAAAAAATATAGATAATTATTTTTTTATTTTCTAACACAGCTCCACAATTTACCAAAACAACGTGATTCCGCACTGTTGTTGAAATTGTAAATAACTCAGATTTAGTTAACCTATATTAAAATCTCATAAATCGATTAACAAGACAAATCAAGATAACAAACAAACACTGAGGGAATCGCATCAAACCCAAAATGAGTCAGACCGGGTATACAAGAAGACTGGGTAAGCGTCTCCTGTTGTGCAGGTATCACCTACCATAGATTCCACAATTAGTCAAAATGTCACTACGGAGAATACGACCGAATCGGTAAAATCAGGGAATAGACGATTATTCTGATATCTAAAGAGTAATGACTGCAAAAACATGAGCTGAGACACAGACATATCGTATCGGTCAATCATTGCGTAATGGCGACCGTAAAACGTATGAAGTGCCAATTTCAATCGTTCTTCATAAGTCCTCTGTTTGAGCAGTTTTTGTGTAAGGAGCACAACCTTGCTAAAAGGTACTTCTTCAACATCACAGGTCTTTATATAGTCTTATATTCCTTTTAATTGCACAGTTAAGACCTGAGTTTTTCTTCTCTTTATATAGGAAATCCAAATTAAGTTTGTTATCTTTTTCCGGATTGATCTTTCGTACGATACAGGCTTTATTCACTAGCATTTTGCCAATCTCCTCTATAAAAATGAACGTGCTGAATAATTCAATGTTTAGTTTGCTGCACTATGTTGATAATACTTGATACTGTATTAAAAAATATATACCAAAGACACCGTTACGCGTAGTTCTGTTTGATTTGCAACAAATAATTCAAAGCGAGATTGGTTGACAACTAACCTTTACGACAAAGGATAAATTAATCTTCCGATTGTAGACTTTCTTTTTTATGCAACATTTTAAAAGCACCTGCAAATGAGAGATCTTCCTTTGATATTTAATATTTTCCATTTCCTGTTTAATGACCGATACGATGTGCTTGTTGTTAAACTCACTATCGAAATGTTTTCTTAGATCTTTATATACCAGAATATAGTTCAGTCCTATTCCCTATTGTGATATTTTGGCTGAGTGTAGATTTGGGTGGCGGGTGATATATGCATAGCTGGCCCTATTGTGACATTTTGGTTGAGTATAGATTTGAGTGGCGTGTGATATATGCATAGCTGGCCCTATTGTGACATTTTGGATTAGTGTAGATTTTGTGGCAGGTGATATATGCATAGCTGGCCCTATTGTGACATTCGGCTGAGTGTAGGTCTGAATGGCGGGTAATATATGCATAGCTGGCCCTAAAGTGACATTTGGCTGAGTGTAGGTCTGAATGGCGGGTCATATATGCATAGCTGGCCCTATTGTGACATTTGGCTGAGTGTAGATCTGAATGGCGGGTGATATATGCATAGCTGGCCCTATTGTGACATTTGGCTGAGTGTAGATCTGAATGGCGGGTGAAATATGTGTAGCTGGCCCTATTATGACATTTGGCTGAGTGTAGATCTGAATGGCGGGTGAAATATGCATAGCTGGCCCTATTGTGACATTTTGGCTGAGTGTAGATTTGGGTGGCGGGTGATATATGCATAGCTGGCCCTATTGTGACATTTGGCTGAATGTAGATTTGGGTGGCGGGTGATATATGCATAGCTGGCCCTATTGTGACATTTCGGCTGAGTGTAGATATGAATGGCGGGTGATATATGCATAGCAGGCCCTATTGTGACATTTGGCTGAGTGTAGATTTTGGGTGGCGGATTATATATGCAAAGCTGGCCCTATTGTGACATTTCAGCTTAGTGTAGATTTTGTGGCAGGTGATATATGCATAGCTGGCCCTATTGTGACATTCGGCTGAGTGTAGGTCTGAATGGCGGGTAATATATGCATAGCTGGCCCTAAAGTGACATTTGGCTGAGTGTAGGTCTGAATGACGGGTCATATATGCATAGCTGGCCCTATTGTGACATTTGGCTGAGTGTAGATCTGAATGGCGGGTGATATGTGCATAGCTGGCCCTATTGTGACATTTGGCTGAGTGTAGATCTGAATGGCGGGTGATATATGTGTAGCTGGCCCTATTATGACATTTGGCTGAGTGTAGATCTGAATGGCGGGTGATATATGCATAGCTGGCCCTATTGTGACATTATGGTTGAGTGTAGATTTGGGTGGCGGGTGATATATGCATAGCTGTCCCTATTGTGACATTTGGCTGAATGTAGATTTGGGTGGCGGGTGATATATGCATAGCTGGCCCTATTGTGACATTTTGGCTTAGTGTAGATTTTGTGGCAGGTGATATATGCATAGCTGGCCCTATTGTGACATTCGGCTGAGTGTAGGTCTGAATGGCGGGTAATATATGCATAGCTGGCCCTAAAGTGACATTTGGCTGAGTGTAGGTCTGAATGGCGGGTCATATATGCATAGCTGGCCCTATTGTGACATTTGGCTGAGTGTAGATCTGAATGGCGGGTGATATATGCATAGCTGGCCCTATTGTGACATTTAGCTGAGTGTAGATCTGAATGGCGGGTGATATATGCGTAGCTGGCCCTATTATGACATTTGGCTGAGTGTAGATCTGAATGGCGGGTGATATATGCATAGCTGGCCCTATTGTGACATTTTGGCTGAGTGTAGATTTGGGTGGCGGGTGATATATGCATAGCTGGCCATATTGTGACATTTGGCTGAATGTAGATTTGGGTGGCGGGTGATATATGCATAGCTGGCCCTATTGTGACATTTTGGCTTAGTGTAGATTTTGTGGCAGGTGATATATGCATAGCTGGCCCTATTGTGACATTCGGCTGAGTGTAGGTCTGAATGGCGGGTAATATATGCATAGCTGGCCCTAAAGTGACATTTGGCTGAGTGTAGGTCTGAATGGCGGGTCATATATGCATAGCTGGCCCTATTGTGACATTTGGCTGAGTGTAGATCTGAATGGCGGGTGATATATGCATAGCTGGCCCTATTGTGACATTTGGCTGAGTGTAGATCTGAATGGCGGGTGATATATGCGTAGCTGGCCCTATTATGACATTTGGCTGAGTGTAGATCTGAATGGCGGGTGATATATGCATAGCTGGCCCTATTGTGACATTTTGGCTGAGTGTAGATTTGGGTGGCGGGTGATATATGCATAGCTGGCCATATTGTGACATTTGGCTGAATGTAGATTTGGGTGGCGGGTGATATATGCATAGCTGGCCCTATTGTGACATTTTGACTGAGTGTTGATATGAATGGCGGGTGATATATGCATAGCAGGCCATATTGTGACTTTTCGCTGAGTGTAGATTTTGGGTAGCGGGTGATATATGCATAGCTGGCCCTATTGTGACATTTTGGCTGAGTGTAAATTTGAGTGGCCGGTGATATATGCATAGCTGGCCCTATCGTGACATTTTGACTGAGTGTAAATCTGAGTGCCCGGTGATATATGCATAGCTGGCCCTATTTGCAATAACATAAGCAACACGACGGGTGCCACATGTGGAGCAGGATCTGCTTACCCTTCCGGAGCACCTGAGATCACCCCAGTTTTTGGTGGGGTTCGTGTTGCTTAGTCTTTAGTTTTCTATGTTGTGTCATCTGTACTTTTGTTTGTCTGTTTGTCTTTTTATTTTTGACCATGGAGTTGTCAGTTTGTTTTCGATCTATGAGGTTGAATGTCCCTCTGGTTACTTTCGTCCCTCTTTTGTGACACTTTGGCTGAGTGTAGATCTGAATGCCCGGTGATATATGCATAGCTGGCCCTATTGTGACATTTGGCTGAGTGTAGATCTGAGTGCCCGGTGATATATGCATAGCTGGCCCTATTGTGACATTTGGCTGAATGTAGATTTGAGTTGCGAGTGATATATGCATAGCTGGCCCTATTGTGACATTTTGGCTGAGTGTTGATCTGAGTGCCCGGTGATATATGCATAGCTGGCCCTATTGTGACATTTTGGCTGAGTGTAGATCTGAATGGCGAGTGATATATGCATAGCTGGCCCTATTGTGACATTTTGGCTGAGTGTAGATCTGAATGGCGATTGATATATGCATAGCTGGCCCTATTGTGACATGTTGGCTGAGTGTAGATTTGAGTTGCGGGTTCACATTTTTTCCTCGGATTTTTGTTTTATCTTGAATGTGTTTTTGCTCACCCAAATTTGACAATATAACAGAACCAATAACAACTGTCAAGTGGGAGATTTATCTAGGTATAAAACCAGGTTTAATCCACCATTCCCGTAGGAAAATGCCTGTACTTAGTCGGAAATATGACAGTTGTTTTATCGTTTCATTTTGTCAGGCTTAACGGACTTCCCCGTTTTGAATTTATCTTGGTGTTTTGTAGTTTTATTAATACTTTTTTTTTAATTAATTTTTCGGTAAACTATTGTTGCCTTTATTTAATTCTTTTAAACAAAATCTTTAGTTGAGGGTAGTTGCTAGCAAAAGTCTTTAAATGCAAGGGACAAATGTCTAATGGATAGTATCCCACTCGCCTTTCAACTCTAATTGAATATCTGTATGATAAATATCTTTGGATATATTCCATTGGTCTTACCCTTTCCGTCCTTTTGTCTTTGGTTCGACTTAAAAACTAACATGAATAACCACTAAATAGTAACTTGTGACGAGCAAAACGCAGGTGTCAGCAAGGGCGCAGAGTGTTTGAGTGTTAGTCCCCAACGGTATCATCAGCTCAGGAGTGACCCGTTCTAACATACTGTTTTCTTAAAATTTATCAATTAAGAAATAATCAAGAAACTATGTTCCCCCTTCCTCAGACAAAGTTCACCTGGTATATGGCTATTCTATTTAGGTCAGTTTTGATCATATAACACCTACGTATTACTGACTTTCAAATGTTAAGGTTTAGTCATTCGTGATGGTAGCAAATCCCGAAAAGTACGAAATTTATAAAGTGTTATTTTTCGTTTTGAGCAAAGTAAAACATTATTCTATCCAACAATGGAAAGTGCCCGAGCTAAGTTATTGATATTCAAGCGTCTGTCATCACGGTTTTTTTTACAAAAATGTCACAATTAAGTAATCAGTATACAAGGTTATATTTTTAGGAGTTTACGATAAACCTCAAAATATTGATCATTTCTTATTTAATATCCTTACCATGCGTGAAAAGCGGAAACAATTTAATCAATTACGAACGAGAGAGAAAATTACGAATGATATCTGAAGATTTTTCTTGTTATATGAAATACAAGCCTTATCTTAATAAATAATAATGTTCTCTGTAACGTCAAAGTAACATGTTTCGTTACAGTTTATTGCCTTGATTGTTATGAAGTTGACCATCCAGACAACTGCACACAAACAACAGCTTGTAGTGATGGGAAGGTATGCACAAATATTTTTCATATTGTATCATACTCAAATGCCTTTTGTCTACAATGCAGCTTAAGGAACACGATGTGATTACATTGTCAATGTAAATATATACGCTAATTAGGTATTTTAACAATATAAGTTCTTCATGTCGCTAAATTTAAAGTTATTTTCAATTGTTTAGAAGTTATTATCATTTCACTATAATAGTAAGTAGTAGTTTTGTCCCACTACACTTCTGTATATCATAATCAACGCTTGAAATACAAGTACGAGTCTGTGTCATTTGTGCATAAGCAAATTCACATAATACACTTTGCATAATTTTACAAAATGATTAATGAATATTGGTTTCAGTTTAGAGATTAACCTTAAGTTTGTAAGAGTCAACCCATATTTTGTATCATCATCATATGAAATTGCACATATATCCTCAACAGTTATAATATTTTAAAATAGGTGGATATAATAAGACCCATTATTTGATTTAGTTTTAATAATATTCTATTTTTTAAAAGTGCACAAATTACAATTATACAATAGAAATACAGGGATTCGGAAACAAGAAGAACTTATATAAATCCTTCTCCCTTAACCAAATGACAACATCGAGAACATAGTGTAAAGAAACCCGCTATAATATAATTTTCATCTACGTTACATGTTTATTCTGTGGTTTGCCCATTACTCAGAAGTCAGTTTGATCGAAAAATGTGATCAACTCATTTCTAACTGTGGTCTCACATGTAGCTGTGAAAATATGTAAATGTTTCAAAAAAATAAAGTTAAATTATAAAGTTTTAACATCTAAATCGACATAGAAATAAAAGATTATGAACCAAATCTCCCGGTTATCAAAAGAAAACACTTTTATTTGATTTAATTTACATATTTCAGACTACTGCACTTTGAAAGTAAAGCTAACATTGGTATTTAAGATAACAGATCAATAAACTCATCATAGATACAAGGCTTTAACACTGAGGAAGGTAGTAATGATCCTACAAAGCTCCAGGACTAAGTGTGTTAAGCAACGGACGTTCAATGCCTGTCCTGGAACTTTCAAATCCGTTCCAAATTATATTTAACAAGTCTCAAAGTAAACCTTTATATCCAATTTTCTGGAAGATTGCAAATTTATAGCCATTTAAAGATAAGAAGTTGTAGTATAATTGCAACTTAAACAACTATACTTGAAACCAAAAGACAAGGATGTAAACAAATACTAGTCTTGTCCATCCTCACATTGAGAAAATTCAACTCGATATCCGTAAGGCTTGCGAAATGGACGAGATACTATTTTACCATTCTGCTAGTTGTCACTCACTTCCCATTCATTTATTTCATCGATAATTAAACATGCGAATAGTCTGTACTAGTTTAGTGTGACGTCCATTTTCACTGAACTAGTACACATATTTGTTTAGGGGCCAGCTGACGCCCGCCTCCGGGTGCGAGATTTTCTCGCTGCGTTGAAGACCCATTGATGGCCTTGGACTGTTTTCTTCTCTTTGGTCGGGTTGTTGTCTCTTTGACACATTCCCCATTTCCATTCTCAATTTTATGTATTAGTCCATTCGAAAATCCTAATTAAAAACATAGCATTCGAAATTGAGATCCACTTCAAAATCATGTTTATGGTCAAAGCACATTGAATATTATCTCAAGTTTGATTGTCAAACACAAATAATGCATACATGACATAGATGAAAGCTTATCATTATTATTTATAATTTTCACTGCAAATTCAATTTGAATATTTTTATTTTTATTCTTAATTCTTAGGAATGTTATGGACTTGAAAAATTGGGATCAAACTTTAAAACTGCAGTTCAACTGGGATGTATTGACCGGAGTGTAAGTCTTTATTTAGAGGTACCAGCCTTGTGTATTGAAATCATCGGGAAATGTGCAAAATGTGCAAAATGTTCAACAAACAAATTAAAATAACAAAAATACCAAACTCCAAGGGAAATTCAAAACGGAAAGTCCTTTATAAAATGGCAAAATCAAAAGCTCAAACACATCTATCGAATGGAAAACAATCGTCATATTCCTGACTTGGTACAGGCATTTCCTTATGTAGAAAATGGTGGATTAAACCTGGTTTTATAGCTATAATAAGTAAAAACGCCAAAAACATTGTAATATAATCTTAATCACTATAAAAACAAAGAAACTTAAGTTAAATATGATTATATTGTCATATTTGAGGTTTTGCACTTATGCTTACACACGAAGAATAAACTGGTAATTAATCCGAGAGAAAAACACTTTACGAATTGAAATACATTTTGAACTGTATTTATATTTTATTGGCAAATTTCTCATTGTTTAAGTCTGATGTAAAGACAACACGATTAACACAAATGTGAAATGAGAGTATATTTACGAGGAAATTATTCGTTTCAATTCGGGGACGATTTTTTGCGATATTGATTAAGGATTGACGTAACTGGTATCTCTTATGGTGTAAATTCAAGATTTTGACAATCAATTTAATTGAACAATCTTTCAGTAATGGTCAAAAGTTCAGCGGTTTGTAGAATGGTTTAAATGTATTATATAAAATGCGTCATGTATGAAAAAATAATAACCTTTGCAACTCCACTGGTACAAAGTGGTTTTAAGTGATGATTTGGCTAATCAAATACAATATTCATCTCATTGCTGTTAGATGTTGAAAGATTTGACTATCCATTTAGCACCATTTAAAGTCCAACAGTCCTAAGGTAATTGACATTTAATCTTAAATTTGGTATATATCTGCTTTTTTTTCAAAACGGCAAGCTGTTTACTCACATATGGAGTACCGATTTCACATTTTTTTTTGTCATTAAAAAAAATAACACTCACATGACAAAAAAATTAAAAACAAACTTAAAATCACCTTTATAAAAAAAAGATATAATTGATTTTAAACCTACAAGAAACATACTTATAGAATTATCTTATATTTTGATATATTTCAGTTATGTGATCAACTACAATCACCTTCGGGTCATATATTTGGACGAAGAGATTTCACTTTCTCTGGTGGATGTTGCAAAGGAGATAAATGTAATGCAAATCCAAATTCTAAAACAATATTAACTTCTACTACGACAACCACAGCTCAGCCACGTATGTTAAATGTTCTTAGTACAGTTTGAAATTGATACTCAAAATTTTGTGACAATTTGTTATTGGTCAATTTAGAAGACAACAGTTGTGATTCATTATTTTAGTGAAATATCATGCCGGATAAGGATATTTGTTCCTTATAATGCACGTTAGTGATCATGGTGGTGAATCTATCTAAAAACATGTAATTTTTTAAGTGCATTCATTTATAATATGATGGCTGATGTGCTTCATAAACAAATATCTACCTCAAATATTAGTTTTTTTTACTTTGATATAAAAAATGAGAAGATGTGGTATGTTTGCCAATTGAACAATTCTCCACCAGAGACCAAATGACTTAGACGTTAACAACTATATTTGCTTATTTTTATAATGAATCAGATCCTTTCAAACAAATCGGCAGATATGTTAAATCAATGTAAATCATTTTAATATATTTTAAAGGATTTTCATTTTCAGATTGTTCAAATCATTATCATCGATGCCCGAGTGGTTTTCTTCAGCATGGCAATAATTGTTATCTCTTTGGTAATCATAGGGTTACCAAAAATGACGCTGATGTAAGTATACTCAGACTTCTCTTGAACTGAGTTTTACTGTGCGTACTGTTGTACGTTTGTTTTTTCTACATTGGCTAGAGGTATAGTGGGAGGGTTGAGATCTCAAAAAACATGTTTAACCCCGCCACATTTTTGCGCCTGTCCCAAGTCAGGAGCCTCTGGCCTTTGTTAGTCTTGTATCATTTTTAGTTTAAGTTTCTTGTGTATAATTTGGAGTTTAGTATGGCGTCCATTATCACTGAACTAGTATACATATTTGTTTAGGGGCCAGCTGAAGGACGCCTCCGGGTGCGGGAGTTTCTCGCTGCATTGAAGACCATTGGTGGCCTTCGGCTGTTGTCTGCTCTATGGTCGGGTTGTTGTCTCTTTGACACATTCCCCATTTCCATTCTCAATTTTATTTTTTCAAGGTTTGTCTTTAGTGCCGTGTGGAGACAGTAGAGTGCCTCCCCGTGCTTCAGGTTTATGCTCTTATAATATACTAGATTATGGAGTGTGTGTCCGAGCGAGAACTTCTCTATGTTCATTACTTTAGGAATACTAGTATATATCAAAAAGTAGTTTTTCACATTCAGCCCCATTCTTCTATTTAGTCAGACGTCAGTCGCTACCCTGATATACCCTATCTTTTGTTTTATTTTTCGGGTAATTTATGACGGATAGCGTTTGACGTCTTTAGCCGAACAGTTTTATCATATTCACATAATTCAATTCATTGTGTGCTGGTTCATATTCTGGACGCCAGTCTTTGCTCCTTTCTAATAAAATCCACATAACAAAAAACAAATATGAAGCTTAGAAATGGAAAAATATTAAATACTAAACTCGTTCAAAGGGTATCTACACGTCTCAATCTTCAAAATCGCTTATCTAAAAATACTACCATCGCAAACATTTTTAGCAATAAAAATCGTGGTTACCCTTCTATAGATAAGTGTCATGCCAAAAAATAACTTACATGTCCCCGTCTTTCCACCAACAATACGGTAAGGTCTACGTTTAATGGTCGCACATTTTCTTTAAATTTTGAAACTGATATAACTTGAAAAACAAACAGTATTATTTATTTACTCACATGAAACAAACCGGTGTGCGGTATTCAGTACGTAGGTGAAACTGGGCGATATTTATCTAAACGCACGCAAGAACACCTGTATCGTTTTAAAAGACCCAATAAATTCAAAAGTATCATTTATCAACATCTTAAAAAGCACAATCATCCTATTAAATATTTAACAGTTCAACCTTTAGAAGTAGTAAATAAGCAGCCTGGTGAATCTCATTCAAAGTTTGTACGATCACGGAAAATAATTGAATTAAATTGGATTAAAAAATTACAGACAGTCTACCCTCTCGGTCTAAATGATAATATCATGGGAATTGGTAATATATCAAGAACCGATTCTGTTAACATTTTGGATATAGTTTCTAAAACTGTTCGTAAAAACCGTCCTCATTTTATTAAAATAAAGTAAGTCAATAAAGGTTTTCATTTTGTAAATATTGCCGGTATTTTTAACGACCATTCTGTTAAAGAACAAATTCCTGGATATTTTGATAATACTGAACTCCCTCTTATTTTTTATATTTACAAGAAATCTACCCTAAAATTTGTGTTTAATTATAGCCAAGTCTGTAAAGATGTAAATATCAGTGAAAATACACCTCCGTCATGTAATTGTAGTAATTCCGAATACACTTATGGCCCCATTTCCCATGTTATAACAGGAGGCCTTAACATCGTTCCCGACCGAGAGTTAAAATCATTCCTCAGTTAAGGACCTAAATATCGTCCCCCGTCAATTATTAATTGGAATGAGTGTCGTAATATCATCCACGACTCACTCCGTGCTTACTGTTTGAAATGGATAAAACGGGAAAAAGCTGACAAAAAATCTTTGGACTCTTTTTTTAATTCAGTAATGAAGATAGTTGATATACGTATACAACATTTTAAAGAACATTTTACTCTTAACAACAACCATAAAAATCCTATTTCTCGTATCAAACATAAACTAAAAGAACTAGCCAAGGAATTTGGTTTTTGTCCCGGCAGATAAAGCTGCAAATAATATCAATATAGTTTGACGTAAATTTTACATTGAGGTTCTGCAAAAGGAAATCACGAATTCACCAACATTCCAACTGACTTCATTTTCAGAAAACGATATCTGTAACAAACATAAACTATTAGCTACTTCTTTACAAGCAGAACCAAATACAATGAAAGTCCCAACTATGTACTGGCTTCCGAAGTTACACAAATCACCTTACAAATATAGATTTATTTCGTCTTCAAGTCATTGTTCCACCACTATATTGTCTATTCTACTTACTAGTACACTTGGTACAATCAAAAACCTGATAATAAATTGTTCAAATAAGGCCTTCGAAAATAGTGGAATCAACTACTTTTGGAGTGTCAAAAACTCGTTGGAAGTACTTGATAAATTGCATGCATATATTGGTGATTTTGAATCTGTTCAAAGTTTTGATTTTTCTACCCTATATACCACTTTGCCTCATATTCTTATTAAAAAAAATTCACACACCTAATTAAATGGGCATTTAAAAAGTCGGAATGCCAATACATATGTTCAAACTTTTTTAGATCACTTTTTAGTAGCAACAAACAAAAGAGCTATGTCAATTGGACATGCTTTGATACTATATCTGCCCTTGAATTTTTACTTGATAACATTTTTGTTCGCTTTGGAGATTCCGTATATCGTCAAGTTATCGGAATTCCAATGGGGACTAACTGTGCACCACTTATTGCGGACCTGTTTTTGTATTGTTATGAGTTACAATTTATGACTAAAATCAGCAAAGACCCATCGAAACAACATCTGATACAAAAATTTAACAATACTTTTAGATATTTGGATGATATATTGGCTCTCAATAATGACGACTTCAGTATGTATACTAAAGAAATTTATCCCGTTGAACTTACTTTAAATAAAGCTAATACTAACAATGACCACTGTGCTTTCCTCGGTCTTGATATATATATCATGAACGGGAAGCTTAATACAAAAATCTATGATAAAAGAGATGATTTTTCATTTCCTATCGTTAATTATCCATTTTTAGATGGTGACGTTCCCTTGTCACCATCTTATGGTGTTTATATATCTCAACTTGTACGATTCGCTCGTGTATGTAACAACGTATTAGATTTTAGCGAGAGAAAGGAGTAGGTCCAGTAGGACCCATTTTTGGCCCCAAAATATAGCAGTTTTACAAAATTGTTAAAATGTAAACATTAAGCTATTTATTGGAAAGTAGAATACTTCTGCTATATAAATATGGGCTGTTTTTGACAATACATTGCACATATATCGGGTACTCGCATTATTAAGTCATGCTAAATTACTGAAATCTTCACAATTTTAGCATTTGAGTTAAATTTTAGACGGTTTTCGTCTTAAATGGAAGTGGCCGCATTTGTGTTCATTCTAAATATTTAAATGTAAGTTGTATTTGATGATAATACATAACATATATAAAGGTTAAGAGCGAACACGGATGCGGCCACTTTCATTTTTGACAAAAACCATCTGAAAAGTGACATATTATGGCATAATTGATAGATTTTTCATATTTAAGCTTAAATTAGAGCGTATTTAATGACTAAATAAGTTTAAATCTTTCACATAACCTAATTGAATCTACTGAAGTAGACACTTAAGTGTTTAGAAAGTGTCCAAAATCTTTCATCAGATGAACCTGAAATTTGAGGCCAAAATCGGCCCTTACCGGACCTACTCCTTTATGTATTACTGAAAAATTATTACACCAGGCCTAGGGTTTTCGATATCATAAACTAGTCAAAACATTTACTAAATTTTATCATCGGTATAAGGACATCATTCGTAAATATAACTCAACATGCAGACATCTTATACGTTCGGGTATTTCACATCCAATCTTTTATGGTAATATTCTTTACAAAGCACAAAAATGTCAGTATTCACCTCAAAAGCTAACAAAACCTTTAAACAGACTTATTAAGAAGGGATATAGTTACGATACTGTTGTCAGGTCATTAAAGATTGCATATTTTGGCTTTAATATTGATTCACTTATAGGGTCTTTGCATCGGAATTAAACACATTTATTTCAAAAAAACCCGTTGTTGGCATGATACGGGTTATGTTCTTCTCATATATTTTATGATGGTATGATACTAAACCCCTAACGGGAGGGATTGTACTTGATTTTCATATGATGAAGACATAATCTTTCAATCAGTATAATTGAGGTCTGGAGCTGGCATGTCAGTAACTGCTAGTAGTCCTTTGTTCATTTATGTATTATTGTCATTTTGTTTATTTTCTTTTGTTTCCTATTCTGACATCGGACTCGGACTTCTCTTGAACTGAGTTTTACTGTGCGTAATGTTGTATGTTTGTTTTTTCTACATTGGCTAGAGGTATAGGAGGAGGGTTGAGATCTAAAAAAAAACATGTTTAACCCCGCCACATTTTTGCGCCTGTCCCAAGTCAGGAGCCTCTGGCCTTTCTTAGTCTTGTATCATTTTTAATTTTAGTTTCTTGTGTATAATTTGGAGTTTAGTATGACGTCCATTATCACTGAACTAGTGTACATATTTGTTTAGGGGTCAGCTGAAGGACGCCTCCGGGTGCGGGAGTTTCTCGCTGCATTGAAGACCCATTGGTGGCCTTCGGCTGTTGTCTGCTCTATGGTCGGGTTGTTGTCTCTTTGACACATTCCCCATTTCCATTCTCAATTTTATAGTTGCATTTTTGAAGATAATTATTTGGAAACGAATAAGCAGTATTGGATAAAATGAATACGAAAAACCACCATGAACTTTCATATTCATGTTTCAACAATTAGGAAAATTCAGTCTTGTAATTTATATTACGCATGGGTGGGAATCAAAGGATATGATGAATTAAGTCATGATAAGATATGATGAATTAAGTCATGATAAAATCCTTAAAATAATATGATTTATTTGACACATCACTTTTTTTAATTGTTCTGCTAAAAGTCACAATAGAGCCTGATGTTGTGTTTCATGGATTGTTTATCAAATGTTAAATATTCACAACACTTTCCTTCTCCAAGCATATATGACCCTACCCTGATTGGCACTTTTGGGTTTTCAAAGCTATTATGATTCGACGCCGCTATTTTTATGTAGTTGAAACGCGCATATAGCATTCTAATTTATAGGCCTTGTATCTGTGGTTTGTTTTGATAATATTTGGGCTTGATGGGTGTTATCTCCTTTATGGTAGACTAAGTTTTTAGGTGATAAATGTGAAGAAGTGTAGGTGCACTTCCCTTGATCCAGATAATTTATAATTGTTTTTTAGAGCGATAACTCCTGTCGTGAATTATCATTGATATGGTCATAATTATAAATCAACTGTATACAAAACTTTGAATTTTTGTAAATACTAAGGATTTCCTTCCCAGGAACAGATTATCTAAGCTGTATTTTGCATAATCTCTCGGAATTTTGGGTCCTCAATGCGTTTCAATTTCGTACTTTATTTGGCCTTTTTAACTTTGTTGGTTCGATCGTCACTTGTGAGTCTTTTGTAGACTAAACGCGCGTATGGCGTACAAATTTTTAAGCCTTTTTATAATTTTTTATTTTTATTCGAAAGAACTGCAAGAATTGAGGTACATAGATATGAACATAATCTATAATATATATATGTATTTATAACAAACCTTTCTATAGCCGTCTAAAGCTAAAATGTTAAATGCCCTACTTTTATGGATATATGGTAGTTATCTACTTGATCATACCATGGAAGTATTGTATTGAAAAACATCACAGTGCTGTGGCTCAATTATCATGCCCATTCTTTGAATTAATTTCAGAATATTTAATACTTTTACAAATTTTGAAGTTGCTTTTAAACCTGTCCTGCGATTTTGATATTTGCAATGCGTTAACTTATTTTATCACTTTATATATTTTTCTGCACTAATTTAAAGATTAGTTTAAATTTTACAAGTATGATTTTAACTATCATTCAAGTTTATATGATTAAACCAAGGACGTATATTAGTTAAAATCCTTGCTTAAACCTATAAATAAAAGGTATATAATATTATCCATGTCGTGATCTAAAATCCCAAAATGTTATGTAAAGGTTCTCGCGTGTGGGCATTATTTAGTAAACACGTTTACACTTTTACATTTTTCTACAATGTGAAGATAGAGAAACGTTTTATTTTTGTATCACTCGATAAAAATTGCCAACATATGAATTAGAATTTGAATTATCCGCCGCCATCTTCCACGCGGAACGCGCATTACATTATTTTCCGCAAACATTCTTCTTCATGTAATTTTTATGATCGGAGTGTTACCGATTTAAAAGTTACAAGGATTATTATCAGTTGATAGAGCGACAGTTCAAAGTGGCGAAAGTCTAAGACAGTATTGAGGAAACTTCAGATCTACAGTTATATGTACTTAATTACGAATGATTCCTTAAATTTTTAATATTGTGTCACATTTTCTTTGAATGGAACAAATAAGATCCATTTTATGATATAAATTCAAATTTAAAGTATTGTAAAACATATTGTACACATGTATAACTTATTGTTGCTTAGTGTTAGAGGATATACAAAGGTAAAGAGTTTAACAAAATGTACCTTTTAATCACAATTTTAAATCTGAAATTTGTATTGATGAAATACGAACATGTATAAAGTTTATATGAGTGCTTAATATCGACATACCTGCTACAACTTCCAAGATTTCAGATGTCTAACCTGTCTACATTGTAAAATATTTTTTTTTTTTTTTTTTTGTAGAAATTCTGTAGAAGTCATTGCGCAGCCCTTTTTTATATTCACTCTAACTCTGAATTTTCTGCGTTCGCACAATACCAACACAATGGATATATAGGTATGTGATATAATAGTTTATGGTGTATGGTCGCATGGTTTACATTAGATCAATTAATATGTTCGTAAATGATAAGATAAATCAAAGGGAATAAATTAGAGAGAACAAAAAACATTTACTTGGTTAAATTGATTAATTTATATGTGTTACGGATACATATGACTGAGTATAAAGCGTAACTCAAAATATACAGTTGGCATGATTTGAAGTCAAATATCTTGTATCAGAACATATTATCATACCCTATTATGATCTTTTATGGCATCATGGGCTGTTGAACAGGTCGTAAATGCTCTTCTTTCACACGCACAAACATATGCATACACAAACGATTCAACACGCTTTGTCTGAGATTAGCTCGACGCCGGGGGAGAGGGCACTTTTTATGTCCCAATCTTGCAGATAAACTGTTTAATATCAATTCATAAGCTAGTACAATAAATAAGTATTTGAATCTCTTATAAATGTAAAACTGATAAATTATATATTAATATATTTCGCTTAGCAAAACACAAAGGACCAAAATATTTGACCCGTTCCTCAACTGTTGTTTTCCAAAAAAAAAAGATTCCACCGCCTATGCATATTTGTGTATCATTAAAGGCTTATCTCTGTCGTTTAGTAGTAGAAGTAGTACTATTGTCGGTAATATATCAACGTTTTGAAAGAATGCCTGGACCCGGAAAACTCTTGTCCATGCTTATCAGCGTAAAGACTGTCTCTAATCTGCAAAGCCTTGTTCTATCTTGTTTTTGAAACAATGTAAATAACACTTTCATCATTCGGTCATCAATATAGTTTTATATACAGTTAGGTATACTGTTTTATTACCTGTAAATACATGTTTATTGATATTTTTCTTCGTTTAAGACGTGTTTACGGGCTTGGTAAGAGATCATCATCATGGGTGGATTTGGAGTCATGATGGTTCGCCGATCCAGCACTCCGTGGTAACTGGTTACTCATTCTTTAATCAACATGTAACTGGACAAACAGCGAAAAATTGTGCCACAGCTAATTACCAATACATCAATAACAATGGCCATTACAGTTTAAGAGCAGTACCTTGTACAGATTTACATCATCCGTTTTGTAAACTTGAAATGGGATAATGGTGTTACTTAATCATTGCCTTTTGTATTCAAATTTCTTTGGTCAATAAAATAATCCTATGCATCTGTATCTGTATGAATAGAGACACTCGACAAATTTAAGCTGATCTTTTAATCGTAAAGAAATTTAAAATACGATTTACTGAAGCACAGGGCCTTATTTCACTTTTATGACGTATTAGAAAAAGTCTCTTCGAAGCTTTTTTTCAAATTTTGTTGATTTTTGTTTTAGTATTAGTTTCGCAGACATAGAGCAAATCAAGACATACTAGAAATTAACCTGGATATTTGCTTGTGTATATGTTATAGTAAATAGGTGAAATTAAGAATTACTCGTAATTACTAAAATTTAGGAATTACATGCAACTCCTGTTGTACTCAGTTAATACAAGTAATTCCTGAAACTGCCCAGTTATTACCAGTAATTACTAATTTCTAAATGAATTTTTACACCTGTTTACCTACTGTTAAAACAATGCTGTAATATTAAAAAGTGATCATCCTAAAATAAACCTTGATGTTAAACTGTTTAAACATACATGTATTTGTTGAAAATGGCGAATGAAAAAAATATTTACAGAGGAGTTTTTATTCAAATTGTACAATGAAAAATGTGATAGAGTCTTAATGCCAAAATAGAAGCTGAACAATATAATCAGCAGATCGAACATTTTGTTTGACAATGAAACAACAAATAAAAGACAAGCGTTGATTACAATTAGACCTCTGATGTAGAAGCCTCATTACTTGAGATCTTGATACCACAAGCTCAGAGTGACTCCATAGAAGATCACACTCCGTATGAGGTGCATAGCTTACAATAATGCGAATGCAACAAATGTTCTGCATATTTTCAGAAAAATTCAAAATTACAGGTCTGTAGCGACATTTGTATTGTTTTAGAATGCTTTCAACGGGAACGTCATGCAAGTGGCTGAAACTTATCAAAGCAAGCAAAAAATATGATTGCCCGAAGCAACCAAATTTTGCGACCTGTTCAAGTCTGGGTTAACTTAACTATTTCCATTCCTAGTATCGATAGAGGACGCGGCATCTCTCCTACAAACATTTTCTTATTTCTTCACTAAAACATATTTGTTAAAATTACAAATATATACCTTATCAAGGATAATTTAATTCATGCATTTTTTCGGCATTAACATTTTGGTGAATATACATAATGTTTTATCTTAAAAGAAGCGTACAGCTTAAACTTCTCATGTATCTATCAATTGTTTTACACAAACAACTCATGGTCTTTTAATAGAATTTGAATATCTTTGCCAAAATCGGACCCTTGGTGCTCTCGTCCTTATCCTAATTTGATCGTTTGTATTACTTGATAATCATAATCCATAACTCCGCTCAAGTCGGTGCTAGGGGCCGTCTTAAACTTGCAGTGAGGTGAGTTTTTTTTTCTTTCTTTTTTTGCTCCGTGTTGAAGGCCTCACTGTGACTTTGAGATGAAGAACAGCAATAAAAGAGCTGTTCCTTTGCTTTTTGTGTGTTTTTTTGCTGTGCATGTGCTGATTTTGTGTCAAGGATGGATACCCCGTATCCTTTGTTTTTCTATCATGTTGTTTGTAATCATCATACATTTGTGCATGCTAATTCGCTAGTCCAGTTGTCCAGTAATAGAATTAGTCAGTGGTGGTCAGGATTGTGTTAGTGTTTTTGGTTTGTTTTTTGTTTTACATTTTGGGAAATTTAGCATTAAAGGCAGACGTTTGATGATATTTATTTATTCACAAGATGCATATCCAATATTTTATTAAAGTCTCTCCACTTTTTTCACATAAAGCAGTCCCATATATACATAAATAAAACATTGTTTAAAACCAACAATTCTACATCGTTTGGTTCAATTTAATAAAACGTATACATGTGTCATTCTATTAAGAATTATTATGAGAGACTTTTAATAGAATTATAACATACAAAACTTCACATCATAATTTAAAGACCACAAGTATTCAGTTACATCATCAACTATTTATAAAGAAAATAAAATGTCCGTTGGTTTTCCCGTTTGAATGGTTTTACACTAGTAATTTTTGGGGCCCTTTATAGCTTACTGTTCGGTGTGAGCCAATGCTCCGTGTTGAAGGCCGTACTTTGACCTATAATGGTTTACTTTTGCAAATTGTGACTTGGATGGAGAGTTGTCTCATTGGCACTCATACCACATCTTCTTATATCTATATATTCTACATACAATATTAAAACAGGTTTTAGCAATTACGTTCTATTTGTTCTTCATTTTTTTTAATAAAAACACAAATTTTCGTCATTTAAAAACGTAAATTTTGATCATTATTTGTTACAAAATGCGTCTTGTAAATGTCACAAATATGATGTCAATCAATAATCCAAGCATCTTGGTAATGTCAGTTTTGGAGGACTTTTTGTTTGAATAAGAGTGTTTTTTTACAAAGTTTGATTTATCCCTTCCTAAAACAAGATATTTTTATCTACAGTGGCCGTTCTTTTTTATGAAATAAAGTTGGACTAGTTCTTATAATGTCTTTAAGTTTAGAATGGGGTATACTAGTGTCAAATGTTTGTTTAATATTATTAGAGGAAAACGACTAAGATTGTATGTTCTCTGACAGAACTTTCGAGTTATATAGTATTCACATCTGATTCACACCGCCCTTAGAGTAGAAAGTTTCACAGTAACTCCGAAGCCTCGTTTTGATTGCTAATAATATTGATGTTAATAATTTATCAAGAGGTTTCGTGGAGCACTTGGCAAACCGAGCAATATAGCGTTGTTTGTAAGGACACTTTTGGTATCCAGTACAGTGAAGAAAGATAAATTCTTCGTCTTTGATTGGAATTCCATAGAAACGTAGAACAAACGACGATAGTACAGGATTTCTTTTTTTTTTTGATAAGTGTATTGGGCGTATATGTTGAGTTGCAGGGTGAATTGTCAATACCTAATTCCGTTATCAAGCAGTTTATTATATGATTTGATTTACACAACAACGTTGGTCGGAGGACAACAACATATGTATCAAGGAGATAGGACAGGTTTTTAGCAATGTTTAGGACTTTAAAGATGAAAGTAGCATGAGTGTTCATAGAGTAATTCAGTTTTAAAATTCTAATTTGTATCAACGACATCACAACTTTAACCTATTCGGAAAAAAGTATTTACGTCTTCCTTTTTTAAGTTCATTGTCTGGCATATTCATCGACTTGATCCATGAGTTATTTAAAATTTTGTATCCAATTTATGGATTCAGGCTCACGGTAAAAGTTCCATTCGCCTTTAAAACTGTGAATGCGTTTTATTCTTAAGATCATGAAACGCTGAGGCTCAACACTTACACGTTTTTCATTTATGTTTCAAATTTGTGTACAACAGATGTAGATTCATATCAAGAGAGAAAGACATAAAGTCATGACACAGAACTGATAAAAGGATAAGACATTAAGGTCACATAAAATGTCGACCCTGAAATATTACAGAATTTTTACTTTATCAGGTCAGTATATACAACTATAGGACTGTTTAATTAACAAATGTTTAAGTAAAGCCTCATTTAAAATACTTCAAGTATGAATAAGAAAAGTCGGTTTTCAACGTGTTCAAAATTATTTAACCATTTTATGAAATCGCTTATTTATACAGATATAAAAAAATTTACAACTTCAATTCAATACAAACCTGTAATTAAGTGGTTGTCATTTGTTGTTGTATATCATATTGTTTTTCTTTTAATGTCTGTGCGTTCATCGGTCCGATTGTTCATCCATCTGTTAGTCCCTACGTAAGTCCGACCTGAATCAGTTAAATTTATGTCTCGCCTGCGACGTTAGTCACAGTATGCGAGACATTGGGATAACTATCCGGCGGCGGTGTAAACTATTCGTATAAAGCTTTATATTTTAGAAGGTAGAAGACCTGCATGCTTCATACCTTGTATGCAGATACATTATAATACGGAATTTCCGTCTATTTTATGTCTATTGTCCTTGACCTCATTTTCATGGTTCAGCGACTGCTTAAAAAAATATATAGTTTTTTTGTCATTTGAATTTCTCACTTATTATGAGTAATATGATTTCCTTGCTACGTCTACATGTCCGCCAGATAGAGTTCACATGACCTTGACCTCATTAGTTGGATCAGTGATTAAGGTTAAAGTAACGTGATTAAGTCCGTTGCTCAGATACTATAAGCAGTAGGTCAACTATATGTGGTGTAAAGAATGATTGTTAGGGGTACATGTCTGTCTGGTAGGTTTCATCTGACCTTGACCTCATTTTCGTGGTTCATTGGTCAATGTTAAGTTTTTGTGCTTTTGGTCTGTTTTTCAATTACCATAAGCAAAAGGTAAACTATATTTGGAGTATGGAATAATTGTAAGGTGTACATATCTGTCTGACAGTATTTATCTGACCTTGACCTCATTGTCATGGATCTTTAAAAATGTTAAGTTTATTTGATACTTGTAGCAAACCCTTCATCTTTAAGACTTTCAACATAAAATCAATGGTCAATAAAACAAGCGAGACATTTAAGCATGTGCACTCTTGTTTGGCTAGGGTAGATTACCATGAAGTTTTTACCTTAGTTCACATGTTCATTGTGAAGTTAACCATTTTATTAAAAATGTTGTAACTTTGGTTTTTCTCTCTGACTGTAGTTTTTGTGTTTTCACTTACTTGTGTTGTGTTTACTTTAACGTTGTCTAATTATTACATTGACTGTAATGTAAATTTCGTGTTTTCACTTACTTGCTTCATTTTTACTGTAACGTTTTCTGATCTGTCTGATTGTTATAAAAAAAATTGTTTCTGTAACTTGTGTATTGTTTATTGTAACGTTGTCTAATATGTCTGATTCTAATGAAGACTGTGTGTTTCCAGGTCCTTGTGTAGTTTTTACTATAACGTTGTCTAATATGTCTGATTTTAATGAAGACTGTGTGTTTTCAGTTAATTGTGTAGTTTTTACTCTAACATTGTCTAATATGTCTGATTGTAATGAAGACTGTGTGTTTCCAGGTACTTGTGTAGTTTTTACTATAACGTTGTCCAATATGTCTGATTGTAATGAAGACTGTGTGTTTCCAGGTACTTGTGAAGTTTTTACTATAACGTTGTCCAATATGTCTGATTGTAATGAAGACTGTGTGTTTTAATTTCAGTTACTTGTGTAGTTTTTACTATAACGTTATCCAATATGTCTGATTGTAATGAAGACTGTGTGTTTCCAGGTACTTGTGTAGTTTTTACTTTAACGTTGTTTAATATGTCTGATTTTAATGAAGACTGTGTGTTTCCAGGTACTTGTGTAGTTTTTACTCTAACATTGTCTAATATGTCTGATTGTAATGAAGACTGTGTGTTTCCAGGTACTTGTGTAGTTTTTACTATAACGTTGTCTAATATGTCTGATTTTAATGAAGACTGTGTGTTTCCAGGTACTTGTGTAGTTTTTACTATAACGTTGTCTAATATGGTTGATTGTAATGAAGACTGTGTGTTTCCAGGTACTTGTGTAGTGTTTACTTTAACGTTGTCTAATATGTCTGATTGTAATGAAGACTGTGTGTTTCCAGGTACTTGTGTAGTTTTTACTATAACGTTGTCTAATATGTCTGATTGTAATGAAGACTGTGTGTTTTCAGTTAATTGTGTAGTTTTTACTCTAACATTGTCTAATATGTCTGATTGTAATGAAGACTGTGTGTTTCCAGGTACTTGTGTAGTTTTTACTATAACGTTGTCTAATATGTCTGATTGTAATGAAGACTTTGTGTTTCCAGTTACTTGTGTAGTTTTTACTATAACGTTGTCTAATATGTCTGATTGTAATGAAGACTGTGTGTTTCCAGTTACTTGTGTAGTTTTTACTCTAACATTGTCTAAAATGTCTGATTGTAATGAAGACTGTGTGTTTCCAGGTACTTGTGTAGTTTTTACTATAACGTTGTCTAATATGTCTGATTTTAATGAAGACTGTGTGTTTCCAGGTACTTGTGTAGTTTTTACTATAACGTTGTCCAATATGTCTGATTGTAATGAAGACTGTGTGTTTCCAGGTACTTGTGAAGTTTTTACTATAACGTTGTCCAATATGTCTGATTGTAATGAAGACTGTGTGTTTCCAGGTACTTGTGTAGTTTTTTCTATAACGTTATCTAATATGTCTGATTGTAATGAAGACTGTGTGTTTCCAGGTACTTGTGTAGTTTTTACTTTAACGTTGTCTAATATGTCTGATTTTAATGAAGACTGTGTGTTTCCAGGTACTTGTGTACTTTTTACTTTAACGTTGTCCAATATGTCTGATTGTAATGAAGACTGTGTGTTTCCAGGTACTTGTGTAGTTTTTACTATAACGTTGTCTAATATGTCTGATTGTAATGAAGACTGTGTGTTTCCAGGTACTTGTGTAGTTTTTACTATAACGTTGTCTAATATGTCTGATTTTAATGAAGACTGTGTGTTTCCAGGTACTTGTGTAGTTTTTACTTTAACGTTGTCTAATATGTCTGATTTTAATGAAGACTGTGTATTTCCAGTTACTTGTGTAGTTTTTTCTGTAACGTTGTCTAATCATTCTATTGTCCGTAATGAAGTCTTTGTGTTTTAGTAACTGGTTAAGAGTTTCCTGTAACGTTGTCTGATCATTCTATTGTCCGTAATGAAGTCTTTGTGTTTTAGTAACTGGTTAAGAGTTTCCTGTAACGTTGTCTGATCATTCTATTGTCCGTAATGAAGTCTTTGTGTTTAAGTAACTGGTTAAGAGTTTCCTGTAACGTTGTCTGATCATTCTTTTATTCGTTATGAAGTCTTTGTGTTTTAGTAACTGGTTAAGAGTTTCCTGTAACGTTGTCTGATCATTCTATTGTCCGTTATGAAGTCTTTGTGTTTTAGTAATAGGTTAAGAGTTACCTGTAACGTTGTCTAATCATTCTATTGTCCGTAATGAAGTCTTTGTGTTTTAGTAACTGGTTAAGAGTTTCCTGTAACATTGTCTGATCATTCTATTGTCCGTAATGAAGTCTTTGTGTTTTAGTAACTGGTTAAGAGTTTCCTGTAACGTTGTCTGATCATTCTTTTGTCCATAATGAAGTCTTTGTGTTTTAGTAACTGGTTAAGAGTTTCCTGTAACGTTGTCTGATCATTCTATTGTCCGTAATGAAGTCTTTGTGTTGTAGTAACTGGTTAAGAGTTTCCTGTAACGTTGTCTGATTATTCTATTGTCCGTAATGAAGTCTTTGTGTTTTAGTAACTGGTTAAGAGTTTCCTGTAACGTTGTCTGATTATTCTATTGTCCGTAATGAAGTCTTTGTGTTTTAGTAACTGGTTAAGAGTTTCCTGTAACGTTGTCTGACCTGTCTGAATGTAATGAAGTCTTTGTGTTTTAGTAACTGGTTAAGAGTTTCCTGTAACGTTGTCTGATCATTCTATTAACCGTAATGAAGTCTTTGTGTTTTAGTAACTAGTTAAGAGTTTCCTATAACATTGTCTGATCCGTCTGATTGTAATGAAGTCTTTGTGTTTTAGTAACTGGTTAAGAGTTTCCTGTAACGTTGTCTGATCTCTCTGATTGTAATGAAGTCTTTGTGTTTTAGTAACTGGTTAAGAGTTTCCTGTAACGTTGTCTAATCATTCTATTAACCGTAATGAAGTCTTTGTGTTTTAGTAACTGGTTAAAAGTTTCCTGTAACGTTGTCTGATCTGTCTGATTGTAATGAAGTCTTTGTGTTTTAGTAACTGGTTAAGAGTTTCCTGTAACGTTGTCTGATCTGTCTGATAGTAATGAAGTCTTTGTGTTTTAGTAACTGGTTAAGAGTTTCCTGTAACGTTGTCTAATCATTTTATTAACCGTAATGAAGTCTTTGTGTTTTAGTAACTGGTTAAGAGTTTCCTGTAACGTTGTCTAATCATTCTATTAACCGTAATGAAGTCTTTGTGTTTTGATAACTGGTTAAAAGTTTCCTTTAACGTTGTCTGATCTGTCTGATTGTAATGAAGTCTTTGTGTTTAAGTAACTGGTTAAGAGTTTCCTGTAACGTTGTCTGATCTGTCTGATAGTAATAAAGTCTTTGTGTTTTAGTAACTGGTTAAGAGTTTCCTGTAACGTTGTCTTATCACTCTATTGTCCGTAATGAAGTCTTTGTGTTTTAGTAACTGGTTAAGAGTTTCCTGTAACGTTGTCTGATCATTCTATTGTCCGTAATGAAGTCTTTGTGTTTTAGTAACTGGTTAAGAGTTTCCTGTAACGTTGTCTGATCATTCTATTGTCCGTAATGAAGTCTTTGTGTTTTAGTAACTGGTTAAGAGTTTCCTGTAACGTTGTCTGATCATTCTATTGTCCGTAATGAAGTCTTTGTGTTTTAGTAATAGGCTAAGAGTTTCCTGTAACGTTGTCTAATCATTCTATTGTCCGTAATGAGGTCTTTGTGTTTTAGTAACTGGTTAAGAGTTTCCTGTAACGTTGTCTGATCATTCTATTGTCCGTAATGAAGTCTTTGTGTTTTAGTAACTGGTTAAGAGTTTCCTGTAACGTTGTCTGATCATTCTATTGTCCGGAATGAAGTCTTTGTGTTTTAGTAACTGGTTAAGAGTTTCCTGTAACGTTGTCTGATCATTCTATTGTCCGTAATGAAGTCTTTGTGTTTTAGTAACTGGTTAAGAGTTTCCTGTAACGTTGTCTGATCATTCTATTGTCCGTAATGAAGTCTTTGTGTTTTAGTAACTAGTTAAGAGTTTCCTATAACATTGTCTGATCTGTCTGATTGTAATGAAGTCTTTGTGTTTTAGTAACTGGTTAAGAGTTTCCTGTAAGGTTGTCTGATCTGTCTATTGTCCTTAATGAAGTCTTTGTGTTTTAGTAACTGGTTAAGAGTTTCCTGTAACGTTGTCTAATCATTCTATTAACCGTAATCAAGTCTTTGTGTTTTAGTAACTAGTTAAGAGTTTCCTATAACATTGTCTGATCTGTCTGATTGTAATGAAGTCTTTGTGTTTTAGTAACTGGTTAAGAGTTTCCTGTAACGTTGTCTGATCATTCTATTGTCCGTAATGAAGTCTTTGTGTTTTAGTAACTGCTTAAGAGTTTCCTGTCACGTTGTCTGATCATTCTATTGTCCGTAATGAAGTCTTTGTGTTTTAGTAATAGGTTAAGAGTTTCCTGTAACGTTGTCTAATCATTCTATTGTCCGTAATGAAGTCTTTGTGTTTTAGTAACTGGTTAAGAGTTTCCTGTAACGTTGTCTGATCATTCTATTGTCCGTAATTAAGCCTTTGTGTTTTAGTAACTGGTTAAGAGTTTCCTGTAACGTTGTCTGATCATTCTATTGTCCGTAATGAAGTCTTTGTGTTTTAGTAACTGGTTAAGAGTTTCCTGTAACGTTGTCTGATCATTCTATTGTCCGTAATGAAGTCTTTGTGTTTTAGTAACTGGTTAAGAGTTTCCTGTAAGGTTGTCTGATCTGTCTGATTGTAATGAAGTCTTTGTGTTTTAGTAACTAGTTAAGAGTTTCCTATAACATTGTCTGATCTGTCTGATTGTAATGAAGTCTTTGTGTTTTAGTAACTCGTTAAGAGTTTCCTGTAACGTTGCCTAATCATTCTATTAACCGTAATGAAGTCTTTGTGTTTTAGTAACTGGTTAAAAGTTTCCTGTAACGTTGTCTGATCTGTCTGATTGTAATGAAGTCTTTGTGTTTTAGTAACTGGTTAAGAGTTTCCTGTAAAGTTGTCTGATCTGTCTGATAGTAATGAAGTCTTTGTGTTTTAGTAACTGGTTAAGAGTTTCCTGTAACGTTGTCTAATCATTCTATTAACCGTAATGAAGTCTTTGTGTTTTAGTAACTGGTTAAGAGTTTCCTGTAACGTTGTCTAATCATTCTATTAACCGTAATGAAGTCTTTGTGTTTTAGTAACTAGTTAAGAGTTTCCTATAACATTGTCTGATCTGTCTGATTGTAATGAAGTCTTTGTGTTTTAGTAACTGGTTAAGAGTTTCCTGTAACGTTGTCTGATCTGTCTGATTGTAATGAAGTCTTTGTGTTTTAGTAACTGGTTAAGAGTTTCCTGTAACGTTGTCTGATCTGTCTGATAGTAATGAAGTCTTTGTGTTTTAGTAACTGGTTAAGAGTTTCCTGTAACGTTGTCTAATCATTCTATTAACCGTAATGAAGTCTTTGTGTTTAAGTAACTGGTTAAGAGTTTCCTGTAACGTTGTCTAATCATTCTATTAACCGTAATGAAGTCTTTGTGTTTTAGTAACTGGTTAAAAGTTTCCTGTAACGTTGTCTGATCTGTCTGATTGTAATGAAGTCTTTGTGTTTAAGTAACTGGTTAAGAGTTTCCTGTAACGTTGTCTGATCTGTCTGATAGTAATGAAGTCTTTGTGTTTTAGTAACTGGTTAAGAGTTTCCTGTAACGTTGTCTTATCATTCTATTGTCCGTAATGAAGTCTTTGTGTTTTAGTAACTGGTTAAGAGTTTCCTGTAACGTTGTCTGATCATTCTATTGTCCGTAATGAAGTCTTTGTGTTTTAGTAACTGGTTAAGAATTTCCTGTAACGTTGTCTGATCATTCTATTGTCCGTAATGAAGTCTTTGTGTTTTAGTAACTGGTTAAGAGTTTCCTGTAACGTTGTCTGATCATTCTATTGTCCGTAATGAAGTCTTTGTGTTTTAGTAATAGGTTAAGAGTTTCCTGTAACGTTGTCTAATCATTCTATTGTCCGTAATGAGGTCTTTGTGTTTTAGTAACTGGTTAAGAGTTTCCTGTAACGTTGTCTGACGATTCTATTGTCCGTAATGAAGTCTTTGTGTTTTAGTAACTGGTTAAGAGTTTCCTGTAACGTTGTCTGATCATTCTATTGTCCGTAATGAAGTCTTTGTGTTTTAGTAATAGGTTAAGAGTTTCCTGTAACGTTGTCTAATCATTCTATTGTCCGTAATGAAGTCTTTGTGTTTTAGTAACTGGTTAAGAGTTTCCTGTAACGTTGTCTGATCATTCTATTGTCCGTAATTAAGCCTTTGTGTTTTAGTAACTGGTTAAGAGTTTCCTGTAACGTTGTCTGATCATTCTATTGTCCGTAATGAAGTCTTTGTGTTTTAGTAACTGGTTAAGAGTTTCCTGTAACGTTGTCTGATCATTCTATTGTCCGTAATGAAGTCTTTGTGTTTTAGTAACTGGTTAAGAGTTTCCTGTAACGTTGCCTAATCATTCTATTAACCGTAATGAAGTCTTTGTGTTTTAGTAACTGGTTAAAAGTTTCCTGTAACGTTGTCTGATCTGTCTGATTGTAATGAAGTCTTTGTGTTTTAGTAACTGGTTAAGAGTTTCCTGTAAAATTGTCTGATCTGTCTGATAGTAATGAAGTTTTTGTGTTTTAGTAACTGGTTAAGAGTTTCCTGTAACGTTGTCTAATCATTCTATTAACCGTAATGAAGTCTTTGTGTTTTAGTAACTGGTTAAGAGTTTCCTGTAACGTTGTCTAATCATTCTATTAACCGTAATGAAGTCTTTGTGTTTTAGTAACTAGTTAAGAGTTTCCTATAACATTGTCTGATCTGTCTGATTGTAATGAAGTCTTTGTGTTTTAGTAACTGGTTAAGAGTTTCCTGTAACGTTGTCTGATCTGTCTGATTGTAATGAAGTCTTTGTGTTTTAGTAACTGGTTAAGAGTTTCCTGTAACGTTGTCTAATCATTCTATTAACCGTAATGAAGTCTTTGTGTTTTAGTTACTGGTTAAAAGTTTCCTGTAACGTTGTCTGATCTGTCTGATTGTAATGAAGTCTTTGTGTTTGAGTAACTGGTTAAGAGTTTCCTATAACATTGTCTGATCTGTCTGATTGTAATGAAGTCTTTGTGTTTTAGTAACTGGTTAAGAGTTTCCTGTAACGTTGTCTGATCATTCTTTTGTCCATAATGAAGTCTTTGTGTTTTAGTAACTGGTTAAGAGTTTCCTGTAACGTTGTCTAATCATTCTATTAACCGTAATGAAGTCTTTGTGTTTTAGTAACTGGTTAAGAGTTTCCTGTAACGTTTTCTGATCATTCTATTGTCCGTAATGAAGTCTTTGTGTTTTAGTAACTGGTTA